GGGGGGGGGACTTATAATAAATTAAGTGAAATAAATGCCTTTATTTGTTTGCTTGTTTAATTTGTATGCTGCCCGACTTCCTACAACTCTGGGCAGCATAAAAAAGATTATGATTGCTATATAAGGTTACAACTGCTATATGCTGTTTATTTGATTGATTGATTGATTGATTGATTGATTGATTGATCATGTTTATATAGCCCCCCCCATCTCACAAAGTGACACTGTTTCTAGTATTGGGGTCAACACTGCCTCGAAAGCATTCTCCAATGAAGAAGAGGAGTTGGTGCTTCTTCAGGATTAAGACTCATGAGAGACAGGGGAATCATAGTCTCCTGCCAGAGAACAGCTGGAGGGGAACTCTCCTCTCCAGAAGTGGAAATGTCCAGAGATGACAAGGTGCTTCCCCCCCCCCAACTCCTGGCATCACATCAGCCTAAGCAGCAGAGACAATGCAGGCTTCAAGAACAGAGATTCAGCAAACGTGTTTATATCTATCAGGCAGAGCAGTTCCCTCTCTCTGGCCAGCTCTTAGCTTCAATCATTCATTGCATTTCAGTTCTGCTAGATGCATAACAAGTAATGGCCTTCATGGTGATTCTAAGAGCAGTTCTTCCTGAATTGTAAATCAAAGAGTCTGCCTAATGTTACAGCGTGGAATTGAGTGAGCATAGCTTTTATTAGTGCCATACTGGAAAACATTTGCAACATTTGAACAGCTTTGTGCACCTACAGGAAATAAACCAGGGGTAGGAGTTGAGATACTCTTTGGTGTTAGTCTCTTATGTATATAAAGCATCCGAAGGAAGGCCACCGGAAACTTAATTGTCTCCATAAGTAGCATTGTGTGTCTTCCCAACATCATCAGTAAGCAAAAGGTTTTCCAAGCTGAGGAAAGCAAACAAACAAACAAAATATTTTGACATTACTCACAGGCATCTAGGAGTGTCAGGAAATGGCAGCCAGGGATAAATAATGGCCCTCTGCCACTTTCTCTAATAAAGGAGATAGTTTGCTCTTTGATGACAAACTTAGCAAAAGGTTCAGTTTAGCTCTAAGAGTTTAACATAGTAGTCTCTTAACTATGTTTGCCTTTCAATACTGGGGGAAAAACACACTGAGTAGAAAGGTGAACATTCTTCCTATTTGACAAAGCCCAGTTCAAGTAAATGTTGCTTCAGGTTGTTATATGAGTGGATATATAAGTATATTTGTAAGTTACATTTTTCATAAGAAAGACATTCTTCATGCTATGCCTAACAGCATGTCTTGAGTAGTAGCAGCTAGACATTAGCCTTTTCAGTCAAATATTGTGACTCCTTCTATCACACTCAGCAGTGAACCAAGAATATTTGACAGCTGGAATGGATAATTTTTTAACATCCCCCTCCTCCATTGCTGTTGTACTATGTCACCAACTGCCAAATAGCTAATTGGCACAGCAGCAGCAGCAACACGACTCCATACCTACCCCTGACCCTCTGGTTAGCCTCCTCATCGTACCCATGTTACCAGTCAATGCATCCCTTTATTACCTGCACCCAGGACAGACCAGCCCTACCTCTCTGTCCTTGGTATGCTACTGGCATCACTGCAAGTTATTTCAAAGGCCTAAAACAGTGGCTCTCAGTCTTTTCTATCTTGTCCACTAATTATTCTGTAAAAGCATCTGAATCCCACCTTGCTAGAAATAAAAAGACCCTTTTCCCCAAAGGGACGTATTGTTATTCTATTTATTATTTGCAGTCCAATTTAAATAATTAAAGTTCCATTGATTTATTCTGTGTCTTTTAAGTCCCTTCTGCAGCATGTGTACTATCAGTTGAGAACCACTGTTATAACATATCCAGTTAAATATGTCACTCTACACTCGTGTTTCTCAAACTTGGCAACTTCCAGATGTGTGGATTTCAGTTATCAGAATTCCTCAGCCAACATGAATGTTGCTATTGATGTTGAAAGTTGAAGCCTACACACCTGGAAGTTCTCAGGCTGAGAAATACTGCTTTAGAAGTTCTGGGCATAGAAGAAATTAGAGACACCATAGAAGTGAAGTTGCCTGAGACAAAGGGAAAAAAATCTTCAACTAACAAAGTGACAAATGTGGTTACTTGACCCAGAACCTTAGTTACTGGTTGAATGGGCCTTCCTGTTGGTTCCAAAAGCCATTGCTTAATTTCCATCATTGCCAGGCCCGGAACATAAATATGATGGTGTCTGTTCCCTAATTCAAAAATAAAACGTTGTTTGTTTGTTTGTTTATTTATTTATTTTATTATTTATTATTAAATTCGTATGCCACCCATCTCCTCCAATGGGTGACTCTGGGCGGCTCAGTTCTCTGACTACTGGCAAGATAATGCCTTATACATATTAAAGAGAATTTATAAAAGTGGATTAAGCATCTTCTCTAGACTTAGTTCTTCTTTGGGAAAGCAGTATCAGAAGGAATACCAGATGATTAAAATAATGTTAAAAAGTCACCACCATGCCTTGTATTAAATTAAACAGCTGCACACAGGTTTTTCCTATCTAAGCAAGGTACCTAAGAACCAGAGTTACAAATAGATATACTATGAAATTCTACTTAAAATAAAATAAACAAGAAAAACAACAAGAAAAATCAGATGGGTGAATAAGGAAGAGCAGCCAAGAAAATGTGATTGTCATTCACCTTTTCTTTGAGACATAGTAGAGTAGTAGTATTGGATGTGAAGATAGAGACATCTAATTTTTAAAAGGTAAGCTAAAGTTGCCCTCAAGAAAGTACATCAGCTGATGACCATATCAACATACCTATGTAGCTTTTTTGGCAATGGTATGGAAGTGGTTTGAGATTGCCTCTTCCCAGGATACCTAACTCTTGTCAGGCCTCCAAAGTACACCAGACTAGGAAACCAAAGTCATGTAGGCCAAATCTACTTTTATTGTAAATATACAGTAACAGAATCTTGGAAGTCTGAATACGACTCCCACTTCCTTCCCTTTATCTTTGTGTGAACTAGAGAGGGGCTTGTCTGAGACATTTGCATACATTACATTCCTACCCTGGACTTGGGTTTCTTTTATCTGACCATTGCCTTGGAACAGACTTTTCCTCCTGTCCCTCAAGGCCATTCTGTCTTTTCTCTACAACTCTCTGTAAAAGGCTCTAATGTTGGGAAACAGAAGGAAAGAGAAGGAGATGACCAGCAGCATGGTGGATGGACTCCGTTACAGCGGTGATGGGTGCACTGTCGGAAGTCTTGAAGGACCAGGTAGGGACAGATTGTTATGGAAAAAATCCATCTCTGTGATCTCTAGGAGTTGACACCGACTTCATACACAACACCATTCAGAGAATCTTAGGGATCAAATTCGAAATGAAACCAATTTTTTTTTCCTACTATGTATAATTCCAGAACATAACAATAAAAAGTACTATAATTTATTAAGATACATGTTTACTGCTGTGAAGACAAATTTTGTACAATACTGGAAAAAAAGACATAGTACCAACTATACATAACTGGGAACTTAAACTTAGAGAACATGCAGCAATGATGAAACTAACAGTATATATGTATAACAGAAGTTTAAATTTAAGCAAAAATTACTTCCATATATATATATATATGATACATTATGCCACAAGGTAAATACACTTAGAGAATGGTTTCTAAAGTTTATGCTGATTGATTGATTGATTATGTGCCACCCAGTCATTTTCAACTCCTAGATATTGCAAATTCCAAACAAGGAAGAAGTCAGAAATTAAATATTTATCTATAGTATTTTTAGGGCTGTTTCTCTTTTCTTTTCTTCTTTTTAACATTCATAAATAATTATAAAATGGAGATTTTGGCATTAAGCTCAAAAAGTTATACTACTTTTTTTATATCACAAAACAACTCAATGTACTCTGTCAGCTTTTACTAATGTTGTATAACCTCATTAATTATCTTTTTTTTAGTTCAGTGTTTTATCAATGTATGTATTCATTGCAGACTGATAAAGCACTGGTAAACACTGGTAAACTGATGTGACTGTATTCATCATACACATACTATATACATGCATCAATATTATTTTTTGTATGGCGATACATTTACACATCTGAAAAGCACTGCATGGAAGGAATCCTGATACAGTCACATGCAGAATCATGCCAACTACTTTTGTAGTGTTTCATTAATGTGTAAATTTGGGTCTCTTATACGGGGGGATGTGAATAAGGAAACAGAATTAAAAACTGTGGGAGATTCAGTGTAAGAACACTGAACACAGGGCAATGCAAGCAAAGAGAACAGAATGG